AAGGGAAAAAGCAGCAAATCGGCAGGTGTATTTTGTCATCCACAGATATTATCTTTCAAAAATATGAAAATATAATATATAAAGGAGCAGCCTTTATCGAAACATTGTGCTACTTTGAGTTTTAGTGTAATTATATGCCTGGCTCTCTCCCATCATAGTAGTAAAACAACTTAGGTTTATTGCTTTATCTTGGTTTCTTATTGGCCACTGCCATAAATCACAATAGGACTAACATGGTGTGTTGTGCACACAATCCTTATTATGGCAGCAGCAGATTAAATGTTTGTAATTCAGAGAAAAAGCACAATAAAATTAACCACAGAAAACCTATTAACATCCAACCTGTAAAGCCACATATCGAAAAGTGCATCCGATTTTGCTTTAAACAAATAAGAAATGTACTGGATAAAAAAATACGGAACTCTTATCTTACTTTATAACACAATTACACTAATATGTGAAAAAAATGAAAATTAACTATTAGAAGTAAATTATTAATTAATGCCAGAATTCTTTTTTTTAATGAAATAAATCCAAATAAAGTTATGTTGGAGAAAGCTCCTGAATTGATCAATATTCATGAGATGCACCTTTTCAGCTTTTAAAATAAACCTTTTCCCTTACAAAATAATACATTTAGAAATATACTGTTTGTTTCTGGAACACAACCTAGTATTGCAAGTGTTTTTATAACCAGGATAGAAGACCAAAACATATCAAAATCTCTGATGTTGCATTCGTGAATACCTTTCAGGGTCTCATCTGGCATATGTGCATCTGCTGAGATTATTTTTGTCCAGACCCATCCATCACACTCCCCTACATTAATGAACTTATCAAGCTCAGCGGACAGAATGTGTATCAGGAATGTGCCTCTGTCATCGGGAACAAATTCAGAGATGGGATGTCTTTTGGCCTGGATCTTCACGTGAGGTTATCATGTTGATGGATGGGGTTATGGATTTAATGCAATATCTATGTTGGATGTGATCCACAGGCCGGATTTTTCTTTATTCAGTGGGATGGGGAGACGTGTTTATTTGCCTCAGTGCCATGATGGTTTGGTTTATGGCTGGATGTAGTTTATGGGTGTTGAGCTGTGTGTGTGGAGGGCTGGGCATTTGGAAGAGTGCTGCACCATACTCATGCTGTCAGGGTGAAATACACAGCACTCTCTCTTGATTGCTGTGTACGGGGCTTCAGCCCTATTCATAAAAATGCAATTCCATGCAGCTCTGTGCCTGGCTTGACTAAATAAACTATGACACCCCAGAGAGGCAGATTTAAAGCGTAGTAGAGGCTCAATTACCTCACACAGACGGTTTAGGACAAGCATGTATTTGTGAAAATACACTCAAGTAGGGCTGGTATGCACTAACACAATTTTTCCCAGCATAATTTGACATCACCAGAGGTGGAAGAAGTACTCAGATTATTTACTTAAGTAACAGTAGCAATACTACAGTGTAAAAATACTAGTTCCTGCATTCAAAATTGTACTTAAGTAGAAAATATATTAGCACAAGAATATACTTTAATTAGCAAAAGTAAAAGGATGTGTTATGCAAAATGGCCATTTTGAGCACCAGATATTTTTAAATGATTGGTGCATTAATGTGTTCATCACTTCATTGTTGCACTTGGTAAAGTTGGGGTTTATTTGAATTACTTTATACACAACTGCGAGGCTTAACCTATAATAATATAATAATGTGTGTTGATTTATATTTTGTATTAATAACCTAAATCTGCAAAGTAACTAACTTTATGTCAAATAAATGTAGTGGAGTAGGTACAATATTGTATTCAAAATGTAGTGAAGTAAAAGTTTAAAGTAGCATTATGTCAAAGTAGGCTACTCGGTAGCCTACCTGCATTACATACATACATAGGCTACTGTTCTTGAGTAAATATTACATTACAACACTGTATTTTGCGAATCACTTTATTTCTGATTATCAAGATATTGTTTACTGAAAACCTAATGCACCTAAAAATGTTAAATAGCTGGATCAACTACTATTAACTACAAGTTGGGAAAATACCTGTTCTTCATGAAGAGTGACTCAACACCAGGTTAAAGAGCAGGGCTTTTTTTCTCTCTGGTTTTGTGCATTTGTCTCACTATAGGCTACATCCGGGGTCTCTCACTGATCGGTGAGGTGGGTCAGCATATAGTGCTGCTGAACCTGCAACCCCACCCACCAACAGGGGTGTCACCTGGTTTTCATCTTGACTTTTTAATGCAGCAGGTTGAAAATAAATGACAGTCCGGAGGGGTAAGTGACTCCTGAAGTTAAATGAAACATTAAAACCCAGTTGACGTCTCTAAACATGACGGTTTACAGTCATGCATGCAGCTCTGTACTGAGACACAACAGTGTGTGTTGAGCTAAATGCTAACAACAGCTAACATGGTGACACGCTGCTGTAATGTTTACAGTGCTAATTTGTTTTCTAATTTGATTACATTAAGTCCCTTATGCCACAGGATATTTAGCCTTAGTGCAATATAATTTATAATAGATTATTTTCAATTGTTCTTTTTATCTTCTTAATCTGCTGATTGTTATGTCGATCAATATAAAAAAATTGTGAAATTAATTTGTTTACCTTGCTTTGTCCGACCAAAACTCAACAAATGTAAAACAGTTGAAGAAACTGGATTCTTTGGAGACATTGTGGTCTGCAAATTATCTTAATTATTCACACATTTATTGAAAATGGATGCCTCATAATTGTTTCTGTCTATCAACTAATCGATTTATCACCTCGAAAATAAGCTAGTGTTTTATTTTATTACAACAAAATATATATTTGAAAAAGGCATCTTGATCATACTTGATCAGTGGCTTTAAATTATTTAAGTTATTTGTCTTCTACAGAAAGATAGCCGCCAGTGATGGGAGACAGAGTCGGAGGGAGAGACAGCTACTCATACATGACAATATACAGCCTCCAAAAAAACCTAATTCTGCCTCTACTTCCTGTTCAAAGAGAATGTCATTAAAGCTAATGAAGACGGAGAGGAGATTCATTCTGTTGGGCATTCATCTCTCAGACTTGAAAGTGAAGTCTTCTCCTTGTTAAATTTGGCTTCAGTTTGACCTTAGCATTCTGCTTTTTCATGTTTGTATTCAACGTCATGCTCTTTTTTTAACTGCTTTGGACATTGTGAAACACATCAATGTCAGTTATTTTTGCGTTTATGCTGTCAATACATAGGGGGTATGGTTTTCCTGTATTGCTGTTATCTTCTCACCTGCAGAACCACCTGCTTAAGTCAGCCAAATACCCGAGCCATCCGCCCAGTCTCCTGCCATTTCCTTTCAAAACAGGAGGATGTGATGCGAGGACGTGAGTGCTGCGGTCGAGTCCCTGATGTGCTCGCCTTGCAGGGCAGTGGTGTGAGAGATGGCTTTATCACAATGGGCTTCCTGACAAAGTTTTTTGTTGTTGTTGCTAGGTAGGAAATTGTCTGTTTAACTCAAGTTTACCCACTGCAGAGAGACTAGACAGTGCAGCAATGACTTTAGTGTGATACTAACATGTTGGAGTTTTGTCTGTAGAAGAGGTCTCCATGCCAACCGCTGCACAATGGGTACAATATAACTAACTGTGCCTCCAAGGCCTGGGAGGGTATTTTAGGATGTGCTCATTTGATCTCATGTCACTGTTAATCCTTTATTACACCTTGGTGTGTCGCTTAGCTGCACCGTGTGGAGTTTTTTTCACACATGCCAGTATGTCTCTTTTTTTTTACTGCTTCACTGGGGCTATTAAGGTACATAGCAAGACAAGTAGCAGTTTACAAGAGTTGTTTTTCTGTTGAGTATGAGCTAATTCTTATTTTATACTCAGCAGTTTTATACAATTCCTTTTCAAGACGAAGCCTCTGGAAACCACCAGCTGTACTACCAGCCCTACTTTTCCCTTTCTATTCAACCTCTCCACTTTCTCATCCTCCTTTTTCCCCCTCAGCACAGGGGGAAGATGAAGCACTCGAGTTTGCTAGAATCTGTTTCCCAGCAGCGGCCCGAGCCTTAAGATGGATCGAGGGGATTTGCATGGGGTGGGGTGGAGAGAGTAAGATATCTGAGGGAGAACAGGAGAGGCAGAGAGAGATGTTACTGCTGAGGCTCTGCAAATGAGGGCTGAAGAGAGGGAGGAGAGAAAAGGGGGCATAGTAACACCTACCAGAAAACAACAGTCCTGTCCTGCTCCCAGAGCACAAACGCTGCTGTGTACTCACACTCAGAGTGAGGGGGGAGGAGGGACGATTGGCTTTTACCTTCCATAGTCACTGTGCTCACCCCTGTCTTCCCCTCTTCTTTGCTCTTCCCCTTCAACCCAGCCTGTCTGGAGCCGTAGAGGACTGTCAGCCTGCACAGACGAAGCACAAGATCAGAAACTGTGCCTACAGCCCAGCTGCCTGCGCTACTACATTACTCTCCCTCACACACACACACACACACACACACACACACACACACACACACACACACACACACACACACACACACACACACACACACACACACACACACACACACACACACACACACACACACACACACACACACACACACACCACACACACACACACACACACACACACACACACCAAAATGCTCTCACAGGCACACATTCAGAGAACTTTCTGTTGCGCACACACACTTACATGCTGACACGCAGGCAGGCACACCCCCTCCCATTATCTGTGCGGCGAGCAATTCTGCTCATATTGGTGTGAGCAGCGAGGGGCTGTATTTGGCTCCCCAGCAGCAGCAGCAGCAGCAGCAGGACGGGTCCAGAGGAAAGCAGTCATCACCAGAGATCACACACCAGCTTCTACAACTGAAGGCGAGCCCCACCCCCCTCTTCTCCCTCTTCTTTCTCCTCCCTCATCCTCTGCTCTTTTTCCGTCTTGATGTGACGCAGTGTTGCTGACCTTCCTTTATCCCCCTCCTCTCTCCTCAGCGTGTGCCAGTGGGACAGCCATGGAGGACACCCTCACCTGCAGCCATGCCACCTTCTCCCAGGTGTTTGGACGCCAGGGACAGCTCATGCACGCCAGTGAGTAGCCGCAATTACACCTCGTGCCTCCTGACAAATCATTAGACTGCTGCGTGTCCCGCATGTCAGCGGAACTGATCTCCACCCTCAGCATTTCTTCCTGATCCAATCTTATTGCCAGTTTAATTTAGCTGATACTGAGGTGCAACAAACGTCTTTTGAAGGTACAAAAGAAGATAAGAGGATCATAGCTTAAATCTCTCTGGTCTGTTGCTACTGCGACAAAACAGAGTTTATTTGGGGGTAAAACAGAAAAACTGGGTTATTCGTGGGAAGATGTGCATGCTTGTGTATAGGGAAAGAAGACATTATTATTTATTTCTATTGTGATTGTTGTTGATGTTTCTGTTGGCTTGGAAGTTGCTGAGAAAAAGGTTGGATACATGAACTTGTGCAGGCAACTATTTTATTTTAAGGGGGGAGCTACAAAGGCATGTCTTTTCAGATGTTCTTTAGGTTGAACTTGGGGCTGTGGCTAAGCTTGGCTAAGGGTCGCATTGTGATAAAGGGTGCACTTTTTAGGACTTGATGCAGAAAGATAAATCAGAAATGCTGTATTGTGTTGTATTTGTTGTCGTGTGCCACTACCGCGGAGTAGAGGGTGGGCCGTAACATTGTGTTTACAGTTTTAAAGGTTTGTTAGCAAAGAACACTGCATGTCATTTACCAATTTCATTGAATTCGAAAGTGGCAAATCCAGATTGTTTTACTGTCAGTTGTATAAACAGTATGACAGATGCTAGCTGAAATGTATTTATAATGCAGGTGCACGGTATTAGCGAGGTTGAGTCTGACAGGCAGAGACACTATCAGAGCTACTCTCAGAGCTCAGGCTGATAGCTGAATTATTGAAAACTGAATCTATCAAGATTGTCAGAGCCGCAGGAACATTGAACACAACCTTGGAGCGCTGCAAATGAAGCATACTTCGACTGATATCTTATTATGTAATGCACATGGTCAGAATACATATTTCCCTGGGTAGGAAAGCGGAGCAGTGATTGACTTGCTTCCAGAATGAAAGTGTCTGGTGCCTCCTCCCTCATCTGGCCTGGTATCGCTCCCGAGTCGTGCTGTGAGAACTTAGTCAATGCCTTTGATGCCTATGCTCGGCCATAAATGCAAAGGGAGTTCTCGCACAGTGTTATGATGGCTAATGAGGCGAGCCCAGGGCAGACATCAAAATATAACTGCCTTTAGAATTGCATCCCATACATTGGCTTTGCCACATCGGTTTTATTTCCCTGTGTTTCCCTTCATTACCACCTGCAGAGAGAAGTGTCTGAGTGCAGTTTCAAAGTGTGTGTCATCAAAAAGAACCCAGCCAAGACAGCGCTTTGTGTTGCTAAATATGGAAACACGTCAGTCATATCCTGAGCTGGAAAAATGCATTCAACTTTCACACGTGTTTCTTAATAATCAGTGGTGCAGGATTTCATCTTTTTTGGATTTATTATTCACATTTGATGCGTAGAGGTATTTAAGAGGATGAACAAGAGTATCCTGCGCAGTGGATTGTTGTTGTCTTTGCTGATGTTCCTTTCCTCCTATTTGCACCCTTTTTGATAAATAATGCAGTTAGTTTGAATGTTTATGTTGGCTTAATCCAGTGTTGATAAGGACACATTACTGTATAAGGGTTGCACGCCCCCTAATGGATATTGTGCTTTGCTAACTGAGTGCTTTTGGCGTGCTGCTGATCTGTATTTGATGTTGAGGGCCGCCCTGGCAGAATTAATGTGTAAATAATTTGTATTCAGACGCTGGAAAGTCAAACGTATTAGTCGTGATTTTCAAATATACTGGCCTTGTATTAATCTAAAAGCATGCCGTACAGGGCTTTATGTATGGTCAGTTTATCTAGAGGGCATCACAGTATACAAGAGAGGTAAAACAATAGGAGGGTGTGGCAGGGTTGAAGATGCTTATCAAATCCCATCATGGCTGACTAGCTGAGTCTGTCTAGCCTTTAAAATACAATTCTGAAATACCTCTGTACACAGGAGAATAAATAGATTATACTATACTTAAGATCAACTACACTTAGGTGCCACTTTATTAGGTAAACTTAGCTCAAACTAATGCAGAACAAAACAACACTGCTTAAATCCGCCCTACATAAACGTTATATTGTTTGGTTTTGTTCTGTATCATTTTGAAAGGGTGCAGTTTGTGTTGTACACAGACAGGTCTTTCTATCATTTTGTTCTGTGATAAATAATAGAAACACATGTATCATTATTTGCATTTAACAGCAACAGCAACTGCATCTTTGAAAACATCTTAGTATTCAGTTTTTTTACAGTAAGAAATGTGTTTGTTAATTTGTTTTTCGGACCCTCAGAACTTATCATGCATCCAACCGTATGTTGGGGTTTACAACTGGTATATTGTATTAACTATTCAGTGATGAAGTCAAACGTAAGTCTAAATAATATTAGATAAAAAAACTAGATTGAGTTTCCTCTTAAAACAAAATAACTTATTTCTAAAATATTCATACAGTGTCTGTTTTCACTCAGATCACTGTGTCTATTTCTTCTTTTATGAAAGGCCACATGAAAGTGTGATGTGATGTGTGTACAATATCTGCCTCATGCAGATTCTGTTTGATTGGGCCACATGGAACGGCTTGGCTGTCAGAACGCATTCACAAGCAAGAGGAACAAATCTAACAGATATGCAAATCACAGTTCCAGTTAGGCTGCTGTTGTGTTTTGATGCATTTATCTGAGATGTTATTCTAAGTGAGTGACATTGGTTTGCAAAAAAAAATGAGAATATGTTTTGATGAAAACAAAGAGCTTTTTGTAAACAAACACAGCAGCATCTTGAAACTATAGATGTGTTCTATGATTTGCAGCCATTTAGAGATAAAACATTATTTCCCTGTGGGTAGCCATATAAGTGCTAAGACTAATTCTTACATGGACACATATATTAAGCAAATCTAAAGCAAGAGAGTCCTTTGGTCCAAACAGCCTTTTTTGCCTTAGTGGATCTTTGCCTCTTCTATCATTTTTCCCCGGGCGAATGGCAAGTAAAGCTGCTGTTTCTGAGAACTCCATGCATTATTAACTACATCTTGACTTTCTTTTTGTTTCCTCTTCATCCCTGGTAGAATTCCCTCCTCTTTATCTTTGCTTTTAGTTTGACTAACATTTTGTCCTACTTCTTGCCCCTAAACCAACTGCAGCAAAGAAAATGTTTATACTGGCTAGAAGCTCCATGAAAAAAAAGCTTAATTTGCACTGCGTTTGCACAAATCTCTGCATGCTCAGACTGGGCTCCTTCTTGCCCAGATGACCATATCCTGTCTCAGTCACCTTTCTGCTCCACTGAACCAAAGTGATGTGAGGATCGGGTGCAGTGTGAGGTTGTCCGCAGTGAGGTCTACAGAGAAAGGCTTAAACTCTGAATATCTCCATTCTCCCTCTCGTGTCGAGCCATCTTAGTGTCTCTGCTCAGGGAGGTCAAGGTGTTGGCTTTCGGCCAATGTGCTTGTCACTATTAGACTCCCTGGCTGCCGGCTATCAAACCTAATAGTATTTGATTCGGAGGGAGTAAGGCTCTTTAAAGGGCTTCTTTAATTGAGTCATTTTTTCAGTGCAGGTGTCTACTGAATCTAATCTAATAAGAGCTAACATCATTTTGGCCAAATGTATTAAACTTCCACTCTTGGTAGAAGCCCAATAAAATACATAAAAAAAAGAAAAAGATATGCGACCGATGCTCAATTGGCCCAGTCAATGCCTCAATGGTTTATGTATGCTTACTTACATTATTGATCCCTGTCTCTGGGTATCTCCAGCAGCACTGAAAATCACTTCCTCTAATCTCCATATTGCATTAAAGAACCCCAGTAGAGCTGAGAGTGGCAGACCCCGTCGGTCGTCAGTCAGCTCCCCCTGACTCACTACGACAGTTTCGGGTCAGTTAAACTGATTCTGTAAGTCTACAAAAGCTGCTGTGAGTATCTGTTCAAGTTATATTCCATGTTGGTTAAATACATGTAGGAGCTGTTTGATGTGTAGCAGCGTGCTACATTTGATTGAGTTTTAATTATATGTATTTAGTTACAAACGCTCCTCTAGTTCTTAATGGCAGGGGATCATATGTATCTTCATTAGCACACTTTCCCTCGGGGTGATCAATAAACCGATGGGAGTAAGCTGACTGCATTAGTTTGGTGTTTTCTCTCAGACTCGACGTGCTTGTTCTTCGACAGACTTCTTGACTGACACAAGTCTCCTCACTGACAGTAGAAAGTGTATTGCGTTGAGCTTCATGAACTCCTGAGCTGTTACTCACAGCGTGACAAGAAGACAGGTACTTGGCTAGAGGAATATGATGCAACATGTGCTGCATGATGGAGCTCCTAACAGACTCTGACTGGGTTTTATGGCGTGGAAAATCCAACACATCGGGAAGGGAAGCAACCCTCAGGAACGGACTGCTACCACTTCCTTTCTTTCTTTCTGATGCATGTCTTATATACTTGCATTAATAATTATTTTCAACCGTCAGAAATAATAAGCACACATGAAGGGAGGGTGGTTTAAATTGTATAGTGTATTAATCATAGTGTTCCCTCCCCATTCATTTATATCTGTGAACCATGAAAGTGAACACTAGGTTCAGAAAACAAGGTGAAGATGGTCAACCTTTTATTATCAAAGGGGAATTTTAGAACAAAGTTACAAAAAGATAATTGGCGAGAAAGACAAGGCAAGGTCCAATAAATGTCTGTGCTGGAGCTTAAGCGCATTACTGTTTTGGTCAAATACTGCATACTGTAATAATGTATGTAACATTTCTGAACAGGGGGCACAACATAATACTTCACTGAGTGTTTCACAAAAGGCAATGTGTTGCTGCAGCAGTCCCCCAAACTCAAAGTGCTTTATTGTGTCTCCCGGATTTATTGAAGGCGAAGTGCTTTGCTATTTCTGAGGCATTTCATACATTGCTGCATTGTTTCAAAGGATTCTAGTAATTCC